TAAAAGAAGGCCGCATTGGCAGCTACACTCTGTCGACGAGAGCACCGAGCGTTCGGTTCCAGAGGCCACAACGCTTGCACACCACGACTCGACCAGTGACCTGGGCAACGCTTGGGTGACGCTCCTTGGAGGGACTGCAGCCCCTTGCAGCAGTTTCAGATGCATCCACAGCAGACTTGCTTCAAACGTCAGCCAGCACCAATCCCTGGAACACCACGTCATCACATCAAGCGGAGGCCAGCATCATAATAGGCCGAATCGACGAGGGCATATTGCCACGTCACCAACGGTGAATAGTAAAAGCTTACGCCAGCGCGGCTGTCAATTATGCGTCAGAGCGACGATTGAATAAGATAGTTGGCTACATCGGCCGTGGGCCCAACACAACGACGGTTGAACATACAACGATCAAAGAATTCAAGTAAGAGGGTTCGATTTGGGTCGGGCTACAGCCAGAGTGCGAGGACTGAAGCGGCCAGGCTAAAGTTATGACTATAGCTGGATATATTAAGAACCGATTACTTTAATGTCAATTTACTTTTGGGGATCCTGTTAGCAGTGTTTGTAGGTTTTTCCACTGTTGTTTATTTACTGAGCGTTCAGTTTTTCCTTGGTTGTTATTTGCTGGGCTGCCCAAAGTCTCACTCCATCGGCAATAGCAAGTGCCTCCGAGATCCAGGACAAAACAATTGGAGAGCCTGCCAGGGCCGGGAACTGTCAGGAGCAGAAGATTCGAGGATCATTTTCTTTTCCTGCCTAAACACTTGATACTCGTGGAGGGCATAGATGGTTGGAAATGTTAGTTTGCAGTAGCAAAGGAGGTTGGAATGACAAAAATGTGCAATAAGAGCACATTAAGAAAAAGAAACTCAAGTTTCAAAGCAAGGAAGTGCTTGGATTCAAGCTGAGCTTGGAGCAACAAAACAATGTTCCGCAAGATGACCAGAGTGTCATATCAGCATCCTCTACCCGCATATGTCTGAGGAAGTTGATGGTTCTGTTCAATGAAAGACGTGACGACTTGGATGCTTATTTACATAAACTTGAGTGGATTACAAGGGGTCAAGGTTGGGAAATAGGGGAGTGGACAACAGCACTGACTCTTTGTTTGATAGGACGAGACAAATGTGTTGAGCTGAATGCCTGCCAATGACTCCATAGACTATGCAAGGCGAAAAAGACACCGTTGCAAAAATTTATGCTGAAGGTTAAAGGTTTCCAGGAGCGATTTCGCGGCTGCAAGCCAGAGAATACAGAAACAGCAAAGCAGCTTGTGTGTCGCTTGTCAAATTATTTTGAAAGATGGATGGAGATGGCGAAGGTAGGAAGAATATATGAAGGCGTACGTGACTGCATGGTCATGGAAAAACTCTGCTGCAGTAACAGCCTAAAAAAAAGGTAACCACACTTTATGGTGTAGCAGAGCATGCCGATCAGTACTTGGAGACCTAGCAAAGGCAAATGATGGCGGTGACAAAAGAAACTGAATGAGACAGAGTAGATCTCAGGGGCTGTCAAACACGTGACAGCGACCACTCAGGTGTTTTTTGTGTAACAACATTCTACACTGACTTATGAACTTTTGAGCTGGAGGAGATGGACCGTTGCATGCACAAGTAGTGTGCCAGCTGCGTAACAGAATGGGACACTGTGCAAATGAATGTAGGTCAGCAACTACATACGAAGTAATGAGTATAGTAGACTCCCAGGGAGGTTCCATTATAGAATTTGGGATTACAAAGTAGCCTGTATAGTAGACTCGCACAGTGATAGCATGAAAGGGCCACAGGTGCAGAAAAAGAGAGTCAGAAAATAATGAAATTCAATTTTACTCACAAAAACTATTTACCAGTGGTAGACAGAGAAGTGCACGAACAAAAGGTAAAAGTTTTGAAAGATACAGGTACCAATACACTCAAACCTTGTTGTAAGACACACGGATATAACGAAACATGGGTTATAACAAAGTGAATGAGAAATGGTCTTCCAATAGGTAACAGTGTTAGGAATAAGCTTTATGAATGATTTCCAGATATAGCGAACTTATTTTCTTGCAAGATGCAACTTTGCTATAATGAGGTTTGAGTGTACTGTTTCTGTGAAAAGGAGCTTAGTGGATGTATAAAATTTAGCAGGAGAGTATGCAACAGTCATTTTGGTGGATAGTATGGTGAGAAGGCTTCCACAAGCTCGGATTAAAGTTTCAAGTCTATATTATACAGGTTGAGTGACAGCGCAGTGTTTGGAGAAGTCCGTGCACGACCTGATATTGGAAGTTGTGTCGGGAATGAGGAAAGTAGATGAGCCTGATATAAACTGAGAGAGGAACAAGGATGCAGCAGGGGATCAGAATGCACGTAGTGGTAGAGTAGCAAAACAAAGAGAGTCGTAAAAAGAAGCTATGCCGCAAAAGTTTATGAGAAGTGCAGCCACAAGTAGCTGCAGTGGCATAGACAGTAATGATGAGAGTGGCAATAAAAGGAGCAGAGGTCATGATACCAAAGGTGGCAACCAAGAAGAATACAGACATAAGCCGTATGGAGTTCAGGGAAAAGCAGAAAGAGAATGAAACAGCAAAAAAAGTTTTTTTGGCAAGGAAAAAAGACTGCTCTAAAAGCACAGAAGATGAATAACAATTATCTGGCTACAAATAGAGAGGCACATGAAACCAGCGTTAACTGCAGCAAGGTGTGGGAGTGGGGTAGTTTGCATTCCGTGTTTTTACAGTTGAAGCACAATAAACGTAGACAACTGGGTATCCTAGCCACTTGTTGGCATCCATATAAAAAAAACTGCGGAAAGGCTCCGAAGTCAGAGCCACGCGCCCCGATTTTCAGGCAGCCCTGCGTATGAATGTGGCTGCGATCACCAGTGATGTCCCGCACTACATTGAAGAATTCCTATTCAGAGACATGAAAATTCCCTATTACCGAGAATTTTTCCCCTGCAAACGATGATATTCCCACCGTATTTCCCTGCTCAACAGTACTATTTTCTTCTGAACGAATCTACGCACACACATAGTATTATTACACGTATTTGACGTACTGGGCACTTTTGAAATCATGGCTGGCCCTTCCACTGCCGCACGACACAAGCATGACCTTACTAATTCATATACTTTTTGTACACTGCACATTGTGGGCCTCAAGTCGAACAGCAACAGTTAACTAGAAATAGATTCACGTAAATATCAAATAAATCGCGAGGGCTGCGGATGAAGGCACACTGTGACCACTAATTATCGGTCGTCGTAGGAGAATTTTACCATTTCTGAAATTCCCACCAATATCACGGAGATTCCCCTTTTGCCTTTGGCTCAAAATGAGGTGAAAATTCTCAAAAAAAGGAAAATTCCCAGTGCGAAACATCACTGGCGTTCCCATACTTGCATATAATTTTACACAATGTAAAGAAGATGGATCAGACGGCCGGGGTTTCGGTGGTGCTTTCTGCTCCCGATAAGTTGTCACAGTTACGTGCAAGGTCTAGTCCTGTAAGAAGGCTTTCTAACAAGTATAAAATTGAGCACCGAAACGAATCCGTTGATGGTGTGATGAGTGTAGTATATAACGTATCTTTCACCTGTGGTCAAAGTTACATCAAACAGGCAGATGCCTCAATGTGCGATTACTTGAACACAACCAGAAAGTAAAAAAGGGCTCCAATGGTTTCCTGGCCATTCTTGCGCAGAATGCAAATGCATGCCGGTATTTGATAAAACAACTGCGTTGGCTACTCCCCAGCGATTGTATTAGGCTCATCATTGAGTTAGCGGCAATAGAAAATGGAAGCTGCATCGGCAAGCCATCCATCGCACGTATTGATGTTTATTGTGCAATGAATAGAGTAATAGGGACAATGGACCTTTATAACAATCTTGTGAAGAGACCAATGAATGTTTGTGGCAAGTATGTGGTGAGGTATTAAGTATAAAGGCATGTGAATTGAGAAGATATCGCAATGGTTCAAAATGCACAGGATTTACGCAAAAAGAAAAGTTTTTTTTCAAGAAAAACAAAAGAGGAAGGGAGGGGGGCTATGTGAAGAGTAACTCCCATAATCAGAAATGCTGCTTGACTTGTATGCGACTTGCCGCGGCTTCAAGGTGGCACAAACGGGTTTCAAACGCGCTGCACTGAAGGTGGTGGCAAGTCAAGTTCAAGTCGAGCGTTTCTGAAAACGCTCGCGTTTATTGAGTTCGCGTATATGAAGACGACGAAGTAGGGAGAGAAGCACGCGGATGAGGCACAGGGGCATGCGTGGAGCAGCACACGCCTCGACACGCGTGACAAGAGCCGTAAACATGGGCGGCAATTGGATGATGAGCTGGCGCCAATGCTCGCGTGGTTGCGGGAGAAACAGGCGGTATTGGAGGCTACGCGTCCTGTCGACAGGAAGCAGCGGGCGTTCGGTTCCCGAGGCCGTGACGCTGGCACTTCGTGGCGTAGCCGTTTGCCTGGACAACGCTCCTCCGAGGCGCTGCAGCAGCTTGCGGCAGTCCCCCTTTGAACGTCGGCCAGCAGCAATCCCCGGAACGCCACATCAGGAGGTGCCATAATCATATTAGGCCTAACAGACGAAAGCACCGTAAGATTATCATTCCGACTTCTGGTTTTCGGGAGAGAAGCGCGGCACGCAGTCGCGCGTCTTTTGTTTGTTAATTTTTCTTTACCTCCCGAACACCTCTACCGCTAGGCGCGCGCGTGGTCATTTGATTCTAAAGCCATACGAAGTCACGCAAACGCTGCAAAGAGAACATGCCAGCACCACAGCTTCGAAGCCGCGCGGCGGACCAACAGCTAAAGAAGCCGAATTCAACACCGGGGAAAGGTGCGCGGTGAACGGGCGCAAGCATCCGCGATGGCAGAACCATGAATTGCACTATCATTTTGTAGGACCGTCAGCTTGAAACGGCGTTTACTGGGTTTGCTTCGCAAGGCTACGTGGCCCGCTAACACGTAGTTCGGGCTGTAGTTCGCGTAGCTTGGATACGGACAAACAGCTTGACGAGAACTCCGCAGTGTGCGAGAAGCACTTCGACCCAAGGTATGTACAAAAAATAGAAGGCACGGTGTTCGCACACCCGAGCAAGAGACCAATTTTGCTTACTTGCGTTCCACGTGTCACATGCTGCATTGCAACATAACCAATTGGCTGTCCTTTTCTCTTTTCTTTTTCACAGATTTGTCGTGCGTACGTTCAAACATAGGATTAATGGTGAAGATGTATACATGCCGCGCGCTGTGCCGACCTTAACAAATGACGCCGTGCCGACGATTTTTCCTAATTTGCCTAAATACTTGACGAAAGCTCTGCCCAAGGAGAGAAAGAGACGGAAAAGCGTGGCTGAAAGTGCTGTTTCGAGTAAAAGAATTAGTGTGAACCACGACAATGTCGAAGAAGGCTCAGCGATTGACCATGACGTGATCGCTTCAGAACAGAACGTCATGTTGACCGAACAGCTGCATTCCTTAAGTGCTATGCTTCACCGTCCTAGCGAGTTGTGGTCGATGCAGAAGTTCGAGCAAACGAATGCATTATGCTACCAGACCGCTAAATTGGACAGAGATTTAACACCTCCTGTTATTCACAACAAGATAGTGTTGTTTGAAGCTGAGGAAGGAGCAGCTGCTCAGTGCAGCATCTTTCTGAACGGGTTCCTATTCAAAAAAAGTGGCTGTCAGACAGTGAGCCAAGCACAGGATCTTCTCAAGTATGCAGACACATTGACACCCTGCGTAGGAATTGGGACAATGGAAGAGTTCCAACCACTGAATTTGGAAAGCAAGGCGAAGCTATCTCAAATCGTGTCTTCTCCCTTTCTTGCGATGGTTCCTCATCGATTTCGCTACAAGGTATTATGAGATATCGCAGTTGCGCAAACCCTGCCTAAAATATTTTATTTGAGCCTGTAGATACCTGTCCCTGCTTTGGTTAGACTTATCCACCGATTATGGTACACTTTACAGATGGCTCATCTGGACGTTGTACTGCCTGCAGAAAATGCAGAAACCTTCTGAAGGCTCGTCTGCTCCGTCTAAAAAAAAAAAGACTAAGCGGCCACTTGCAAGAACAGCTGCACAACGACTGAAATGGGCTGTTCGTACGTTGAAGAAAAAGAAAATGAAGCTGCTTACCTTGCAGGATGCCCTGAAGAAGATGCGAGAAAAGACTTCACAAATCATTGCATCTGTGTTAGAGGAAAAGGTACACTGTCCCATTAAGTTGTTATAGATTCATTACTAATAGCTTCTTAATTATTTCAGCTGAAACTTCTTCCAAAAAAGCAACGGGCTGCGGTGCAGGCTTGTTTTGACGCTGCCAAACGAAGGTCCTTGCGCGGATATAACTACAATAAAGAATGGCTCCTTGAGTGCATCATCCTCAGAATGAAAAGTGCACGACTGTATGAGCATCTTAGAGCACACAGAATTCTTGTCCTGCCAAGCCGTGCTTGCCTTCAAAAATACATCAAGGTATGTGATTGCATATGGTGTGCAGTATAGAGATGGTTCCTAATGTTTTTATCTACAGGGATTCGCTGCTGCTTATGGGTTTAATACCAAACTCCTGAGCTGTCTGAAGAAAAAAGTTAAAGACATGGATGAAATGGAGAGGCATGGGGGCATAGTAGTGGATGAAATGAAACTCTCTGCTCATCTGGACTTGCAGTCGTCCAGCAATATTGAAGGCTTTGTCGACCTCGGCAAGTTTACCGATGCCAATGAAAGACACCGCAAAGCTGACCATGGGCTTGTCATAATGTTCCAACCATTTGTGGGGAAATGGACACAAATCATTGGTAATATATTTTTTGCACTGTTAAGGCACATATGCCGAAGCGTTTTGTAATGCTCTATTTCTCTTCAGGTGTGTTTTCATCCAGCGGGAACGTAAAAGCCAGGCTGTTGACAAAACTTTTGGTAGAAGCTACAATTTTGTGTGAGCAAGCCGGCCTCTACGTGGATTACATTTGCTGTGATGGTGCGCCCTGGAACAGATCTATGTGGAACATCCTGGGGATACGCGCCACCCTCAATGACATTCAGTGCAGAGTTGTTCATCCGTGCAACAAACACCGATTTTTGTACTTTATATCGGACTTCCCTCACCTCATGAAGTGCGTGAGAAACACAATGATGAAGCAGGGCTTCAACACCCACAACGGAAGGGCAAGTTGGCTCTAATATTTCTGTGGAATTTTTATGCATAATGCGTACTTCTCAATGCTAATTTGAATCCTTAACAGTTCCTGATGCAATGTGGAAATTTTACAGGCCCACTGGGATCATGTGTCAACCATGTGGAAACTTGACAGCAGTGCCATCACCTTGAAAGTGGCACCAAAGCTGACTCGATCACATATCTTTCCAAATGGATTCGAGAAAATGCGTGTGGACTTAACATTTCATGTTTTCAGTGCCCAAGTGACTCGGTGCTTAGATTTTTACAAAGATCAGATCGAGGAGCAATACACAAATGTTGAGCCAACAAGACTCGTTATTGGTCTCATGGCGGAACTAATCGAGGTGATGACATCCAGGTTTCCAGCAGAAGCTTTACGGTAAGAGTGAAATATTTACCCTGTCGATAATTAGTCCAGACAAAGTTTCTACGCTTCATACATAAACATTATTTCAGGCTTCACAGCCGAAAGGAAGCTGTGCTTGACCAGGCACTAAAGTTCCTCGATTTGTGGGAAGCTCACGCAAGAGGACTTGGCTTTCTAAGCAAAAGTACCGCAGTGGGTTTGCGTGTGACGTTGAAAAGTACGAAGCACCTCCTGGAGTACCTGTGTGAGGAAGTACATTTCAAGTATCTCATGACGGCTCGCCTAAGCCAAGACTGCCTTGAGCGCTGTTTCGGAATCGTGCGGCAGGCAGGTGGTGGCAATGATCACCCAACCCCTGCACAGTTTGTTGTTATCACGAGGTATTTTATTATCAAATTTTACGCCTTATGTTGCATGTCGTATAAACTTGTTACGCATCTGATTATGTTTGACTGCTGTTGTGAGTAAAATATGCATTGTTTATTTATAGATGCCTCAGCTTCTATAGCCTGGCAAAGAGTCCGAAGGGTGGCAATGTAGCTGACGGAGTGGTGGAATCTCTTCTCTCTCTGGAAGAAATGCTGCACGAGGTGGAAGATCACAACGAAGACAACGAAAGACTTTCATCTGACGTGCTAGAAGTGTCTGTAGATCATGCGTCATACACTGTTGAGCGAAGTGACGCCCGCCTTGTGTATTATGTCGCAGGTTATGTCGCAAGAAAGCGTGTACTTCGTAGTAATTGTGATGATTGCAAGAACGCCTGCCTTGCTTCTAAAGAAAATGTGCCAGGAAATCTCCCAGCCCAGGCAAGCAAGCTGTGGGATCTCGGAGGACTTTTGTATCCGTCGAATTCCTTCTATAACCTGATATTATCCCTTGAGAACAAAATCACTCGCTTCTTGAGCACATCACGTCTTCATGCCAAATCGGCCGTTGAGATGATGAAGGGGATAGGCGAGACGCAACAAATTGGTTGCGCAAAGCATGCTGCTTTTTTGACGAAAAGTGTGGTGCGATTTTATTGCCTCACTCGTGTCCACTTTTTTTTGAAAGGGATGAACCAAAAGGAAGACGAAAAGAAAGGGCGGAGAGTAAAGCCATGCGTACTCTAGTGGCAGTGCATGAATGGCATGCGTGGAAATAAAGTTGTGTTTTTGTGAAAAAGTGTCTGCTAAATTTATGCTGCTGGGAACAATTCTCAAGTCACACGCTTAGCGGTATAGGTAAATTTTGGCGCTCTTAATGCGTGACTCATCTGAGTTAATGTATACATTAACTCAGATGAGTTTTAGCTGCCTATAGGCAGCTAAAACTGCTTCGTTTTTCTGCGGCGAGCAGCGCGCTGCGGCGAGCAGCGCGCGCTCATTCGTACATCGCCTGCGAAAGGCTACCCGCGCCGGTGCGTGCAGCGCCCCAAGCGGCATCGGCGCGCCTTGGGGACCGGTTTCTGCGGCCGCTTTTCACACCTCATATTCTAGCCACCCTAACCTGGGCCTATTCCTGCAGCACATGCACCTGTTTCTGCAGCAGCTGCAGTAAGGCATGTTCGTAGGCGAGCAAAGTGAGCGGCACACGTTCAATCGGGCCTAACTGTTCAATGTTGGCTTCGCCGAGGCCCTGGCCCGAGACAGCTACTGCTGCTTCGTCTTTCACGATGTCGATTGATTCGCTGTACTTTGTTGGCGCCGACAGTGCTCGTCAGAACCGGGGAGTTGTTCAGCACGGATGCGCCAAGGTTGTAGAGGATTAAAGGGCTCGTCGCATCGTTTCGTATCGGGCCGGAGTCACCCGCCGTCTTTCCGTGGTCGCCCTCTGCGAACGGACTGAAGAGGATCTACGAAGGATCGCGGATGCGGAAAAAAAATATGTAACGGCGTATAGAGGTGGGTCCCACGGGCGTCAGCCGCGCATTGTTGTTGTCGCTAACTGTCGGCAAATGTGCGCCAGAGGGTTAACAACCTCTCACGCCTCTTTCAAGCTACATCCTCACACTTTGTTCTAGGGGCATTGTATGGTTTCGCACGTGCTATCCACTATTGACTAGACTGGGTGTGATAACGGGCATGCATACTGATCGAACACTTTCGTAGTTAATGATTGATAAGTATTAATCAAAAGAGGGAGGGGAGCAAGCACCGCGCTTTTTGTTTTGTTCTTTGCGCACGTATGAAGTCCGTTCTTTTTCGTGCGTTCATTGTTTTGGGAGTGTATTAGCGCGATTTCGTTGAAGGTGGCCCATTTTGTGCTATTTTTATCTGTTATTTACATTTAATTACTTCATCTCTTCGTGCTTGCGTTCGGACAAACTCAAAATTGCACTAAAGATGCATGGCCCGCTTTTGTACTGCCTTTCATACGTAACAAATACATTTGAGTTCAGCATCCTAGTATACTATATAACTGCAACAACAATAATAGTTAAAGTGAACTATTAGAAGATTGGTTGCTATGTGGAGTTTAACGTTCCAAAACTATCTTAAGATTATGAGAGACGCCGTAGTGGTGGGCCCCCAAAAAACTATTAGAAGACGCTCAATATAACCCTCTTTTGAAGCCCTTCTCAAAGAGCAGGAAGTAGGAAAAGAATGTGGTTTAATGAAGCCGCCCTGTTCATGACAGAGAGGTGGAATTTTGTATTATGGACTTGGTCTCGTTTTGTTAACGGGCTTCAACAGGGTGGTTACGAGGTGAACCTACTCGCTTTCGTAAGTGTAGCAGTTGTGTGCATTTCGTGGTCTCACTACAGACATCGGCTACATTGGCGTTCAAAAGGTAACTCAAGGTCTTTCGTAATGTCACGAGTCGCGTTAGAGCACATACATCAGCGTTATCAAACTGAAATGCACTTTACTGTGCGTTGATGTGAATATCGCAGCTAACTTCTGTTTGCGTATTCGTCCTTGCTTGAGCAACGCTTGAATATAGCTTACTGAAGTACAGAAATACAAATGTAAGGCTTATCAGACTGATGTAAAACGCAACCAAAACTTAGACCACAATTAGCCTTAAAGCTACATGATGCCTGTATCAAAAGAGAACTTATGTGATGCTTGTTATATTCACATGAAATGAGGTAGTGTGTGTGTGTGTGATTTTAAATGAAAAGAACAAAAAAGTGAGCACCGTAACTGTCTCTCAGGAGCAGGGCACCTCAACAGTAGTAGCTCACGATGGGGGGGGGGGGGTAAAGGAGTGATTAAAAGGATAGGATTAAATGGTGAATATTTATTAAATGGTAAATGGTGATAGGAATAAATGTAAATCCTTTCCTTGACCCTGTGAGGTGGCTGAGATAGCTGATCAGCTCTC